TGACAAAAGAACCACTCCAAGACTTCGGCAAAAATCCTTCTCTAAGCTTCCAGTAAAAGCATGTGAGATGTGACAGATCTTAAAAAAACAAAAAACCAATCAGCAAACTTTATAACCAACACTATCTCCTTTGATATTCAATCCCTAGTTGTCTTTCAAGCCCTTACAGCTATTCCAAAAACTTAATGTTGACTAATGATAATACTTTCACTTTTACAGAACCCTCACTTAACTCCACTGGCTAGGGATTATTTTCACTGATGCCTTTATCTTCTTGTTAATTAGCTGTAAAAATTGTCAGCAGAAAATTCAGCCAAGGAAAGCAACACACTTTTTCAGCTTTAGAGGAAAAGATGAGATTCAAGCCTGTATCACCGTCGGGCTTTGTCTTCCACATTTAAAACAAACCATCTAGTTGTACCAAAAATTTATTATCCTAATAATCTAAAAATAATCCAAGCAAAATACCTAACTCAAGACAGAGTAGTGGAACAATTCAGTTCAGACACAGCAGTGTAATTAACACCACTTAATAAGTTTCTATAGCATGTTTTGCAAAGCAATGATACAAGCAAGTTTTGTGAATGAAGACTAACATTACTATGCATGTTTAAATGCATTCTAAGCGTCATTAAGTGCTGTGTATCACAAGTAAAAACTGCTACTAATTAAATTCTAAAAGCTGCATTACTACAGCCACCGTTGCAATGCTATTTCTGATAGGACAATACATTCTTTGGGTCATGTTTTCTATTAAAGCTCAATATTCTAGTCAAGAAACAGGTTTCAACAGGAACGACTACCATTTACAACTACCTAGTTATAAAATATGGTTTTAATAGGTAGCTCTTCACCAAGCAGAGAAAGTGCCATTGAATCAAGTGGCTAAAAAGCTATAGAGCACAGGTTCCCTTTTCAAAAAAAAAGTAATTCAGTACAGGAGCAACATTAACAGTGTCCATCAGAGTTCCTTATCAGGAACATTTATCTAGAACTCTACATCTTGAGGTATTCAGGAGACAGATGCGGTGCTGGGGGGAAATGACCGAGTTGAGCTCTACACAAGCCCAGCCTCGCCTTCCAAGTCCCCAGCTGGCCCAGAGGAGGGCATCGCCCAGCGCTGCTCGGGGGGGCGACCGCTAAGAAACCGAGGCGGGGGGAGGAGGGGGAAAAAAAGAAGGTATTTTACAGACCTGCCAACATCACCCCTGGCTAAGCTGCTGCGGGAGGAGCCGCAAGAGCTCCCGCCACCCGGGGCGGCTGGAGCGGGGGGCAGACACGAAGCGCCCCGCCGCCGGGAGGCTCGGTACGGGCTGACGAGCAGGGCAGGACACCCCCGGAGGAGGCGGCGGACAGGACCTACCTCACGCAGAAAGATGAAACTCCCAGCTCGGAGCAACCCTCCGTCTGTTCGCTGACCCGCCGCCCGGGCCCTGCGGGGCGCGATAGCCGGGGCGCTCCCCCCCGGCGGGGACCCGCCGCCCCCGCCCTCCCCCT